AAAAGTTTGAATGAGGTCGAGATTGAGAAAGAGAGGAACCCCCCCCCTTAATGGTGCATACTTCTTAAAAACTTCTTAGTCGGACGTTGGTCCTGGGCCTGGATTCGAGGTCCTTGTCCAGGACATCCCAGGTCCTAGGCTCAGCGCAGAAGGGATCACCCCTCGCGCAGAGCCTAACGTGCACTGCCCACCACGACGCTTTGCCTAGAAGGCAGAAGCGCCGCGAGGGTTGAGGGGCTTGTCCTTCAGCCACTCAATGTCGAGAAGGAGGCGTCCTTCACAATACCTCGTCTCTAACACTTGAGTGTCTTCCGCACCACTGATTCCCATAGGGAATCGGACGGGTGTGGGCAGCGCATGAGGCATCGCTATGACGAGTGTTCGCAAGGACTCGCATAGTTGTGCAATCTGTCTTTTCCTTCGCTTGATCGTCCCTCTTATCCATTTCCGAGCGCGGGCTACACTCGAAGCCTGGCACAGAATAAGTTATCGGACGGTCACTCGAAAGGAAAAGGCGACGCATCTCCAGGTCTTTCTTTTTTACTTTAGGGCGATTTGTCCTACCAAACGGGCACTCGCACCTTTTGGGGCGGACTGGCCCTATAAGCCACGCTTAAACTTTTTTAGAGGTCCGGTGGTTTATCTGTGTTTTCTTCTGCTAACGTTAATGTTTTTTTTTTTTTTTCCTTGTTTTAATTTTATTATTGGTGGAACGTTTAAGTTCCGGGCAATAGGATTAGTGTGTTGCTGGTGGTGCGCCAGACAACTCACCACCGCTCCTAATTCCTTCCTGCCCTAGGGACCAACTAAACCCGCACCCTTTAGGGCACCGCAGGGTGCAGAAGATGGTAAGGCCCTCAGGCCGCCTTTGCGCTCGCTAAAGGTTTACCCCCCTTAGCGCGCGCTTCAGCCGACGCCCGAGCGTCGAGAGCGACCCCATGGCTCAGATAGGGCCACTCAATTACGGGCACCACATAATGCACCGTCATCACGACTGCTTGCGTAGGATTGCATTGCTAGCCGATATGTGTAGGCCTTGCGTCTGCGAGGTTTTATACTAAGTCTCGCGAATGGCGCTTACCCGGTTTCCGCATTGGAAATCTCTTTCTCAATTTTCTTTTACTCCTCCTCTAATTTCTTTCTAACGTCCTCCGATTTCTTTCTCTTTTTCTCCTCCTCCTCTTTCTTCTTCTCAGCCAACTTCCTATCAATTTATGCCTGCTGTTCTGCTGTGCATGTTTGTGTGGTCCCACCAGACCTCACGGTTACACTCATGCCGCATGCTCGATGGAATCCTAGAGGAAACAGGAATCGGAGAAGGGTTCCCCATAGCATGGACAGGGTCAAGAACGTGAACATTGGGTAATCATCCATGGTGTCTAAAGGCACAGGTAAGTAGCCTCCATCTATTCACCATGTAGACCTGGCCCTCAACACTTAATCCATCTAAATCTAGATTGGAGTCTGACCTGCCTGAGTTCTTCCCCCCCCACAGTGTCACTACAACTACCTTGTCGGGCTGGTGGGCAACCAGCAGGTACACATCACACTCGTTCATCCATTAAAGCAACTGCAGGCCTTAGGGGGGCGAGGCACTTCACTTGTGAACGTTCCTTTGATGAAGCTCCTCGATCGCTCCACACACGCAGATACGTACTCAACTTCCCCCTTCTCTGGCCACTTCTTCTTCGGCCTTCAACCCCAACGTCAAACTCCAAATCTCATCTCGCCAGCCTCAATCTTGCCAGTGATCACCAACAACGGATGCAGTGAGTACCAGCTCTGATACCAATAGCATTGAACCACACTGTTCGTCACCTAGAGCACACTCACAGAATAAGAGATCACATGAAATCCTCACTGGAGACCAGAGGTGCACAGTCCAGATAAGCGCAGCTGAAATTCCAACGAATTATCATATTAAACAGTCTCAGAGTTGCAGTCACCAAGTGCTCATCAGCGTAGAGTTCAGTAACCCATTACAACAGCCTCATCCAAGGTAGGTGACTCCCTCACTCTCTCTGTCCCCCTGTCTCACTTCTTTCTCTCTCTCCCTTCTTCATGTGTACGCTCACTCTCTCCCTCTCTCTCTCTCTACCTGAACTACTACTCAGATCTACAAACTACGACTAAGCTGTGCGGCTATGGCCGCCTTTCTTCCTCAGCACAGCGCTGCCTAGATAGGGCCCTAGCGCTAGCTACTCGCAGATAGCGCACAAGTGCCTCAGCAGCACTTCCACACTTCTTGCAAATAAGCAATCTGTCCGCAATGTGGCCGTCCAGTCCTTATATTGACTTGGACTGAGCCTTGACTCGTCCCAGCCTCTGCTTCTCTTGGCTTGACTTGGACCCGGTACCAGCTTCGCGCGGCCTGTTTGCTTCAAAATGTTGAGGCCTGGTACCTTCCTGGCTACGTGACCCCCTAGGCCGCAGATCCTGCGGCCCAGTCTGCGGCCTAGGAGGCCGACCGTGGGCCCGCGGCCGAGTTTCTTCGCGGCCGCGCCACGCTCAGGCGAGGGCGCGCGCGGGAAATCGGCACGCGGCATCGGCCTGCGCACGTCCTCCTCTATGGGACTGCACCCAAAAAAATAAAAAAAATGATTTTTTGGGGGGGGTGGTTTTTGCTGAGTACGAAAATTAATTTAGAAAATAGAAAAAATAAATAAATCGTTGATTGATTGATTGATTGATTGATTGATTGGTTGGTTGATTGATTGATTGATTGATTGATTG